CCCCTCCCCACTCACCGCCGGCAAATGACTCCTGGGTCCCCACCACCGTCCGCACCACACCCCCAAGTGCTGTCCCCAGATCCACTGTCCCCACCACCACTGTCCCCACCGTTCCCACCACAGTCCCCACTGTCCCCACCACTGCCCCCACCACTGTCGCACTGCCCCCACTGTCCCCACCAGTGTTCCCACCAACGGCCCACTCCCCCCACTTTCCCCACGGTCCCCACCACTGACTGTCCCACTGTTCCCGCCGCTGTCCCACTGAATTGTCCCACTGTCCCCACGGTCCCCACCACTATCCCCACTGTACCTCTGTCCCATTGTCTCACCACCGTTCTCGCCACCGCCCTCACCACTGTCCCTACCACCACTGTCCCCCTCATTGTCCCATTGTCCCACTGTCCCCACACCAGTGTCCCCACCACCACCGTCCCCACCACTGTCCCACAGTCCCCACCACTGTCCCACTGTCCCCACTGTTCCCACCATTGTCCCCGCTGTCCCGACCAGTGTCCCCACCAGTGTCTCACTGTCCCCGCTCTCCCCACCATTGTCCCACCACGGTCCCACTCTCCCCACTTTCCCCACGGTCCCCACCACTGTCCCGCTGTCCACACTGTTCCCACCACTGTCCCACTGTCCCCACTGTCCCCGCCGCTGTCCCACTGTGCTGTCCCATTGTCCCCACGGTCCCCACCACTGTCCCAGTGTCCCCACTGTCCCCACCACTCTCCCCACTGTACTACTGTCCCACCACCGTCCTCACCAACGCCTTCACCACTGTCCCACCACTGCCGTCCCCACCACTGTCACACTGTCCCCACCATTGTCCCACTGTCCCCTCACCACTGTCCCCACCCCCACGGTCCCCACAACTGTCCCACTGTCCCCGCGGTCCCCACTGTCCCACTGTCTCCACCGCTGTCCCACTGAGCTGTCCCAGTGTTCCCACCACTGTCCCCGCTGTCCCCACCACTGTCCCCACTGTACCTCTGTCCCATTGTCCCACCAGCGTCCTCGCCACCGCTCTCACCTCTGTCCCCACCACCACGGTCCCCACCACTGTGTCATTGTCCCCACCACTGTCCCACTGTCCCTACACCACTGTCCCCACCACCACCGTCCCCACCACTGTCCCACAGTCCCCACCACTGTCCCACTGTCCGCACAGTTCCCACCATTGCCCCCGCTGTCCCCACCAGTGCCCTCACCAGTGTCTCACTGTCCCCGCTCTCCCCACCATTGTCCCACCACGGTCCCACTCTCCCCACTTACCCCACGGTCCCCACCACTGTCCCACTGTCCACACTGTTCCCACCACTGTCCCACTGTCCCCGCTGTCCCCGCCGCTGCCCCAGTGTGCTGTCCCACTGTCCCCACTGTCCCCACCACTGTCCCACTGTCCCCACTGTCCTCACCACACTCCCCACTGTACTACGGTCCCCACCACCGTCCTCACCACCGCCTTCACCACTGTCCCCACCACTGCCGTCCCCACCACTGTCCCACTGTCCCCACCACTGTCCCGCTGTCCCTTCACCACTCTCCCCACCACGTCCGTCCCCAGCACTGTCCCACTATCCGCACCACTGTCCCACTGTCCCTACACCACTGTCCCCACCACCACCGTCCCCACCACTGTCCAAATATCCCCACCAGTGTCCAACTGTCCCGAAGAGCGGGAATCGTTTGCCGGCGGCGGGGGGGAGGGGGGGGGCTCGAACCGGTAGTGACCCCCCCTTTTGCATGATGGACTGGGGGGGGGGGGCGGGGTTCGAACCGGTAGTAACCCATCCGGTTTTCGAGGGAGGGGGTCGAACCGGTAGTGACCCCGCCCAGTTTTCGAGGGGGGGGGCGGGCTCGAACCGGTAGTGACTGGGGGGGGGTTCGAACCGATAGTGACGCCTTTCGGAGGCGCTCCTCCGCCGTGGCCTCGGCCGTCGCCGGAGCCGCAGGCGGCGCTGCAATCGCTTTGTTCTTCGGGATCACCTCTAGAGCAGCAGGCGACTCCATAGAAAGCAAGCACGCCTCTTGAAGTGCAGGCGGTGCTAAGGGGGCATCGCGCACCTCCGAACTCTTGACCACGGGCGGCGCCGGCGGCGCGGCGTCGGGCGCGGGGGGCTGCACTTCGGGCATCATCCGGTGGCGGTCTCACCTCCAAGCTTTTGACCGGCTGCGCCTCTGGCTCTGGCCCCAGCGGCAGGGAAACTGGCGCCGGAGGCTGCTTGACAGGCCGTTCCTTGTGGAACTCCCTGTCCACCACATCGAACGGGCTCCAAATCTCCGGCGGAGGCGCTAAATTCGTGAACTCATGAAGTCGACTGCCCAGCGAAGCGCCTAGCAACTCAAACGGCACACCAAACGAATGTGCCGTGGCAACCACCGTAGCCTTCACTTCCTCTTGCGCTGTGCCACGGGCACCGCACCGCAAGGCGCAGCACCCGTTAAGCGAGAGGCGGACGCAGGAAATGACTGAGCACGAGCCTTGAATATAGTAGGAGGAGGAGGAGGAGGAGGAGGAGGAGGAGGAGGAGGAGGAGAAGGGGGAGGAGGAGAAAGGGGAGGAGGAGGAGGAGGAGGAGGAGGAGGAGGAGGAGGAGGAGGCAGGAGGACGAGGAGGAGGAGGAGGAGGAGAAGGGGGAGGAAGAGGAGGAGGAGGAGAAGGCGGAGGAGGAGGAGGAAGGGGAGGAGGAGAATGCGGAGGAGGAGAGGAGGAACGCGGGGCGACGTCCCTTCAAAACGAATATCTAACGCCACAAGATGGCGATTGGAGAAATCATCCCCGGGACCCTTTCCAGGGTTCGCACCGGCCAGTTCGTCCCTCTGGATGAATCCCCCCTGGCCTGGAACGAGCCCCCCACCAGCCGAAAATCTGCCGACCCAGTCGGCGTGTGTGTACGACAATGTCGTCGTCGCCGCCAGTCCTCAGGATATCTAGAGACGAACAAAGAAAAGAAACACCGTAAAAGAAACCTCGTAGTTAAGTCGGCGATTCCCTCCCCTTTTCCACGTCCGGGGGGTAGGAGGGGTTCAAATACCCTCCTAGGTAGCAAGCCGTCTAGCTCACTCCCCCCCGCCCTCCCAACACGCAAGTAACACCCGAACCTCAGCATGCTCAGCGGTCGACTTTGGATGGACAGCCACTGGAAACCAAAACCGAGCCCACGTGCGCGACGCTGGGGCGAGGAGCGCCACGCGTGCCAGGCGCGCCACGCGCCAGGCACCCTCGGGACCCGAGCGTGCCAGGCACGCCTGGTGCGCCACGTGCTTCCGCGTGTGCCAGGTGCGCCTGCGCACGTGACAGCACACATCGGGAAGCATGTCGGGTCCCACCATCCTTGTTGAAAGTCGACGCCCATCATTGTGTCTGGTGGGCCTCCGCACAGCGGGCCATACGCCCCCCCCCCCTGCCGTCCCTCTCAAAAACCACTTGGCAGTGATCGCGGGGTGGCCGCGCGCGATCCAGATTTTGCCGCGAGCTGCATTTGATATCGAATTGTGTAAGGGATGATAGATAGCCCTGCGCGCAGCACGCAATATGCTGACACCCCTACCGTCTTTGTCAACGACAGCAATACAAAATGCTCGCGGGCCTCACGAACATGACTCCAGACTTTGCCCCCAAATCTACTCTGTATGGTGTTTTGACAGGGATGGTGGGTGGGAGGGCCGCATCGGGTTGATTGCGCATGCTCCGAATTTGGATCCACAGTGTGTTTCGTGTTTGTTTGACAAAGATGGTTGGGGGGAGGTCCTCATGGGGTCCTCATTGTTCCTGGTTGGCTGCCGGTCGCCTGGAAGAGGGGATGCATAGGGAACAATGGTGAAGGCAACCAAGTTAGATTACCGCCCCCCCCCCCTGGGGGGCCCCGGGGCGGTCCCTCATGTGGAGAAGGCTGACTGACAGGGGTGTGGTCTCACCCCGCCCATCGCCTCGGCCACTGCTCTGGCCCTGGTCCCGCGGCCCTGGCCCCGGCCCCAGCACCGGCCCCAGACCGGGCCTGGCCCCGGCCCCAGCCCCGGCCCCAGCCCCAGCACCGGCTCGGGAGCGGCCAAGAGGGGGGTGTCCAAGAGGGGGGGGTGCAAATCATGACCGGCGGCATGTGCGCGGCCCAGCGGGGGGGCCAGGGACGTAATGAAATAAGAAGAAGCGCCATGAGATCTGGGGAAATTTCCATGGCCCCCGCCATGATATCCACCCCCCCCTAGTCAGCACCCCCCTCTTTTCCGCCCCCGACCGGCCCCGGCGCCCGCCCTGGCCCGGGCCAGCCCCGGCCCCGGCCCTGGCCCCCGCGGCCCCGGCTTGCCGGCCCTGGCCCTGGCCCCAGCACGGGCCCCACGGCCACGGCCGCGGCCCGGGCCCCAGTCCCTTCGCGTCCCAGGCGTGGCCCCCGAAGGGACACACAGCTGTTCTCCTCCTTTTCCCTCCTTTTCCTCCTCCTCCTCCTCCTCCTCCTCCTCCTCCTCCTCCTTTTCTTCTTCCTCCTCCTCCTCCTCCTCCTCTGCTGTTCCTCCTCCTCCTCTCCTCCTCCTCCTCGTCCTCCTGCCCCTCCTCCTGCCCTTCCTCCTCCTCCTCCTCCTCCTCCTCCTCCTCCTCCTCCTCCTCCTCCTCTTTTTCCTCCTCCCTCCACCGCCTGCCACATGCCCCGAGTGGGCGTCGTGGTGGTGGTCGTCGTTGTCGTCCGTATGGGTTGGCGGCACCGGCCGTAAGGCCTTCACAATTATAGTGAGAACCTTGCCGACTCTTATCCCTTTTCTTCCTTCAATGTCCTGCACGCGCTTCCTCCTAATCCTTCGATCCTCCTCCCCCTCCCTCTTCTTCGATCTCCCTCCTCCTCCACCTCCTCCTCCTCCTCCTCGATCCTCCGCCTCCTCGATCCTCCGGACGTCCTCCTTTGATTTCTCCCGCTCCTCCTCCTCCTCCCGGAGCCTCCTGTCCAATCTCCCTCTCCTTCGATCCTTTCCCGAGCCCCTGTCCCGCTCTCGCCCCCCCGAGCCTCGTGGCGCATCACCCGCGGGGCGGAAGGCGGCGACGGTGCCGCCGCCTGTGGGAGCGCGGCAACAGTGAAGGGGCCCCAGGACACACAAATAAATACACACAAATAAAAGGATTCCCCATATTTTCCTATATTTTCTGGGTTTTCGTCTCCCTCCCCCACTTCCCATATTTTCGCATATTTTCCTGGGAGTCGACAATTAATTGTGTCTGTGTGTTTTTCTTTCCCTCCTGAAAAAGACACGGCGGCGGCGACGAACCAGACCTCCTCGCGTGGCGAACAAAAATCACGACGCAAGGGCTTCTGCGCCCCCGGCGTGCGGGGCCGTCCGAGAGAGTCATGACAGGTGGGAAAAGAGGGGTGACTGAAGTAGGGGGTGGCCCAAGTAGGGGGTGAAGAAAACGGCGCTACAAGAGCTCACCAGGGCCGATAATCGAGTCACCGATGGTAAAAAACAAACAAAAAAAACATTCCGTCACCCCCCCATTACCACCCGCCCGAAAAAGGGCCTGGGACGACATACCGGTCTTTGGGGGTGGGTCTGGACCTCCACGGGCCCGCGCTGCGAAACAAAATGCGACGCCCGAGGTCTGGCGAAGACGACGCTGGCGATGGCGACGACGCCGCCACCGACGCCCTCGACGACGACGACGCCGGCGACGACGGCCACGACGAGAACGAAAACGGCTACGACGAGGACACCAGCGACGGCGCCGCCGCCAACGTCCTTCGCTGCCCTTGCAGCCGCCGCCGTCGCAATTGCTGTTGCCACCGCCGGCTCCGATGCTGGTCGGGGAACTTCGTGATCGCTAAAGATAGGGGCGAGACTTCCGGCCGCGGTTTTGGGCCTACTGACGTCGCGAGTTTTCTGGCTACCGTCGCCGCCGCCTCCGATGACGCCGCCGCCGCCCCAAACGTCCTATGTCTAGGTTCGTTCAGTCCGTTTGCCGCCGCCGCCGCATTCCGCGGCGGACGGCGGCGGCGCCGCGCGGCGGCCCCACGGCAGTGGCCGCGCCGGCGCAGGAACGGGAGCGGTGGTCCGCCACGTGCTGCCGCGTCGCCTCGCCTGCCGTCTCGGCGGCGCCGCGCCAGGCGCGCGCCATCTCCCCCTCGGAAGCGCCGGGCCCATGGGTCGGGTCGGGCGAAAGGGGGGGATAGCAAAGGGGGGGTTGAGAATCAGCTCACGTAGCTGATTTTCCTGGCGCCTCCCGGCGCCGGAGGCGACTGTGTATCGAGGAATGGGCCCCTCGGAGGGGCCGAAACCAGCTGCATGCAACAAATTTCGTAACCCCCCCTTTCCCAATCCCCCCCTTTCGTCCGGCCCGAATGGGGCCTGGCGTTCTCGGCCTGGCGGAGTGCCACGCTCAGGTGCTCGGGCAGGGTCGCGTCGCTGTCCTCCCGTGGCGCGTCGCGTCAGCCGCGCGGGGGCATTCCGAGGGCCGTGGCCTCGCTGACTGTGCCGCGGCGCGGGCCCGCGGCCGCGCGTGAAGGTGCCGGTGGCTCCCTGGGCACCGCTCCCCCCTTGATGGCAATTCGAGCTTCGACCCGATGCGGGCGGCCCTCTCGACGGGGGCGCCATCCGCATCCGCGGCCCCGTGTGCGCGCGCGCCTCAGCGCGCGTCAGTGGCGCCAGGAAGCTGCAAGGCGGGCTTCAGGGGGCCGCTCGCCGGGATCCGGACGACCCGACCCAGCTGGGCTCTCGAGGGCGACGGGCCGCCCGGCTTCGACCTGCGGGCCGCGGAGGGCGTCGAGGAACTCCGGGCAGCTGCGCCCCGCTCCTCGCAGCGCCGCGCGCGCTGTCGCCGGTCGCCCGGGGGCGAGGCTCCGTCCAGGACCGCAGCAGCGAGTCAGCCGCGATGACCGGGGTCTCTGGCTCCCCGTGGCCAACCTTCTCGGAGCGCGCCCTGGTGATCGAGATTGCTGGTGCCCCTTCCGTGACGGCAGTCGATCGGCGGGCCCAGTCGGTACCCTCTCTGTTTCGATCGCGCGCTGGATGTCCCGCTGTCGCCGCGCAACTCCCACGCCGTGCAATTGCCTGGGTTGGAGGACAACCGGTCTGTCCACGCAGCAGAACTGACCAGCGCAACGCCCTGGCTGAAGAGCTCCGCCAGCTCCCAGCAGTGCTCGCGGAGCTTCTGCTCCTGGTGGGCCGACTAGCAGACCGAGAGGTTGCCGCCGCAGTTCACCGCGCGGGCGGCGCCATTCCCCTTGTCCCCGGCCTCCGCGCCCCGAGGGATCTCGCCGATCTTCCCCGTGGCGGCTGGCCGGACGCGCGGCGAAGATTTGCGGGGCATCAGGTAGAAGGTCCTTCGCTCAGGGACACCAGGCGCGGGCCCGGCACTGGGCCCGCGAGAAGCGACGAGCTCGCGAAGAGGGAGTAGGAACAATTCTTGAACGCTGCTGGAGCGCTCGCGGTCACCAGCTCGTCTCTGCGCAGTCGGCTGGGCCGCGAGCGACGTCGGGGACGCCGTCCGAGCAGGCGCCGCTTTGGCGGGGCACGGAATCCGCCGCCTCGGCGCGCTGTCTTGTTGGGGCGGTTCCTGCGCGGCTGTCGCTGGTCAGCAGGATCAGGGATGCCGTCCTCCATGTGGCCGCATGCAGCGTCTGCCAGAGGTGCGGCTTTGCGACCGTCCCACCACCTCTGGGGCCTCCTCTCGAAGCCCTCCATCTGCACAAGTCGGGAGCGACGCGACGGCCCGTCGCGCGAGCCCCCAGCCCGGCGAACGCCGTCAATGAAGTCGGCCGTCTCCTCCCTGGCGGCTGAGCGCTGACGAGCGAGCCCGTTGACGCACTCCGAATTTGAACACCAGGACGTCGCCGCTCGGCATGGGCCGGCGCGCCCACGGCGCAAGCGCGGCGGCGGCGCCAAAGGCCCAGGGATGCACCGCAGACCCTGCAGCCAGCGCGGGCGGTTGGAGCTCCGCGACCCAAGCACCGGCGTCGGCCGCACGGTTGAATGCCGCGAGGAGCGAGCCAATGGCCGCCGCGACCTGGCCCGCGCCGGCGCTGGCCGCTGCCGGCGAGGCCGCGGCAGGATCCCCCGGCAGCGCCTTTGGGCAGGGTAAGTCCTTGATCGCGTGCCCGCGGCCTCCACATTTAAGGCACCCCCCCATCGCTCGCCAGAGGCTCGGCGCGCCTCTGCGTGTAAGCGGCACCGTTCGCGCAGCCGGGGCCCCGGGAGATGGGCATTCCAGGATCGCATTGCTCTTGGCGTCGTCCCGGCCATATTGCCCTCGCTCTCGTCTTTGCCCTTGCCGGCGGTGTTCCCTTGGTCCTTGTCCTTGAAGCCCGCGTTTTCAAAGGGCACCCGAGGGTCGCGGAGCGCTGTCCCGGCGCTGGCGAGAAGCGATATCCGCAATCCTCCCGCGCAGGAAGTCGTAAGAAGCACGCGGGGAATCCTTTGTGGGGCTGTGGGGCATGTCGACGCTGGCCCGAGGCACCTCAAGGCGCAGCGTCAGACCATAGTGGGTTCAGATGACCTTCTCCGCCATGCCCTTGAACGCGCTGCACTGGACTGGACCTGCAGTTCTGACAGGGCGAGGCCGACGGGCGAGTCACGCGCGCAACTCAGCCTCCAAGTCCGCATCTTGAGGATGCACTCGTGGGCTTCGCCGGCCCCGCCTGGAAGCTGGATCTGCTTGAGCACGCTGCTCTTGCCCTCCATGACCTCCGGCGCGGAATCCATGAGGATCTCGAACAGCGTCATGGGGATCTCGCGCGCGGTGTCCTGCAGCCCATGCGCGAAGACGGCGTCGCGAATATACCCAGAAGCGGTTCCTAGCACCAAAAGGCGCAGTTTCGATTCCACTGGGCGCCACCGCTGAGGCGTGGGCACTGCTGAGCCCTCTGCAGCGGGCTGGAAGGAAGAAAATTCGCGGGGGCCCAGGGGGCCGCGCCTTCCGCCCACGCCCAGAACATCTCGGACTCGAAGCTCACGGCCTGCGCCGGCTGCACCGCAGGCTTGATCCCACACGGCCACGCTCCAACATGCTTCGGCCTGTCGTTCTTGCCGTCGAGCGTTGGCGCAGGCGCCATGGAGCGGAGGCCGTCGGCCAAGGCCTTTACCGTCGCCGCGTCCATGGGGGAGGAGGAGGAGGAGGAAGAGGAGGAGGAGGAGGAGGAGGAGGAGGAGGAGGAAGAGGAGGAGGCCGGCGACGGTGCGGGGTCGCCGCCTTCCGCGGGCTTCTGGTCGATGCCTGCTCCGGCATGCGCGCCGTCCGCGCTGGCGTCCACGGAGGTGGCGGGGGCGATCTGCTGGCCATTACCAGCCTCGAACGTATCCCTATCCCTAAGACTAGCACACGCCCAAAGGCGATGACAATCTTAGGGACTCGCCCTCAAAAAATAAGGGAACCCCTAAGATTGGCATCGTGATATAGGGATGGGATTTAGGGATAGGGATAAAATAAGGATGCCCAGCAAAAATAAGGGTGCCCAGCATAGGGATAGGGATATTTTCGACTGGCCCTAAAATAAGGGTGCCCAGCATAAAAAATAATGGATATTTTCGTGACTGGCCCTAAAATAAGGGTGCCCAGCATAGGGATAGGGATTTAGGGATATGTCCTAGGCTGGTGAGGCCAGGCAAACCTCCTCTGTCGCTCGTGGACATGGCCCCGGTGATCGCAGGCGCCAGCGGGCTCTGGTGCTGGGCCACGGGATGAGACCTAAAGGTCACCTCGGACCGGCATGCAGAACACATTCGTCCAATTTTTTCGTCGCTCGAAGGGTAGCCCGACCCTTTGGCAAACAGCGCGGCGCCCTTTACGTCAGATGCCACCTCTAGTAAAGGTGGCATCTGACGCTGCCCGAAGGTGAGGGTTCCAGCTGCGTCCCCCGGCTGTTGGCTGCCGCTCCGCGCGCCGGGGCCGAGGCGGGAACCGCGACCTCCTCTCGCCCTGGCAGGCCTGCGGCGGGCTGGCGGGCCGCGTTCGTCGCCAGCGGGGGAAGGCAGCGCTGCTGCGACGTCCAGCCTGCACCGCGGAGTCGATTGCGGCTCTGCTCGGAGTTGGGTCCCCCGTGCCTCTCGGACTCAGCATCCGAAGAGAAGGGCGCCGTCGATCGCGTAGCTGAGGCTGATGACTTGCGTCTGGGCCCCAACGGCCCTGTAGCGGCCTTCCTGGATTTGCGCCTCGGCCTCGTGGAACCGCGCGTTGTAATCGTAGAAGCGCTCCTCCAATTTGCCCACCTTGGCGATGAGAGCGGACATCTGGTTCACCAGGGAATCCAAGGCAATCGCGACTCGGCTGTCGATTTCTGCGCCCCGCTGCGGGTTGGCCACAGCAGCAGCCGGAGGTGCGGAACCGCCACCGCCCATTGGCTGCAACTCTGGTGCCGCGGCCGCGGGTACAGGAGCATCGTTAGTAAGGAACTCGCCAGAAGGCTCGCCCCTGTCCCACAAAAGGTCTCCAAGCAGAGGCCTGTTTGCGTTCTCTTCTGGGATCGAGCCGAAGGAGGTGCCCAAAGCTGCCAGTTCCAAGGCTGGGCGCGCCGACTGCACGGTGGCAGCAGCTCCGCGCACGAACCTGGTGCCGAAGCGCAGCGTGCTCATTGCGATCGCTGCCCGGTCGGCTGCCTCGCGCTGCGCCAGCGCAGCGGCCGCATCCGCCAGGGCGCTGGCCACGCGCTGCTGCATCGCCGAACCCAGGCAGCTTTGGTTGTCTATGTGCTGCCCGGAGTGGAGCAGCCAGTACTGGTAGCAGGGGTTGCACAAGACGTGCAGTCAACCAGTATAGCAAGGATGCGCGATAAGGATGCAAGGGCCTTGGACGCCCACTGCGAAGCTTTTCGAGCGGGGCGCGGCCAGCGAAAGCGGCGAAGGATGGACCGAGGAGGCAAGGATGCAAGGGTATCCTTGGGAAGGTTGCCCATCCTTACTATGCGGGTTGACTGTGCGCGTTGCCATGTTCGTCGCGCGCGGTCACGGCGCAGTCCTCGTGCACGGCGTTGCGGCACTCGACGCGCATCAATGCGAGGGGCGCCCGGAGCCCACAAGTCGAGCACGCGCCACCAGGCAGAGCGACCTGCAGATCTCCCAGAACGCTGAACTCACAATCTGCGAGCCGAACCGAGCCGAGCCGAGCCGGCTGGCCGTTCCATCGCTGGCGCGCGGTGGAAGACCTTTTCTCCTGCTGCTGTATGTTACGAGCCACTGTCTGTGCTTCAAAGACTAGGGGTCTAACGATCCGTGCTGAGCACGATGCCGAATGCGAGAGAAGGCGCCCGACATGGGATCGAAACCTCCAGTGCGAGAACAGACGGATAGGGCCAGAGAGCTCTGGTGCTCAGCTTGTTCTGCATCACTTGAGGATCCCTGCGTGCAAGAAGATCATTGCATATTAGAATTTGGAATGTGCGACGTGCTACAATATTGGATGCTCGGAGTAAATGCAAGAGAATGCGGTACTAACTCACCCACTCACATCGTGCCTGGTGGTTGAGCCCTGTCTCTCTTCTGTTCTGAGGCACCAGCATTGTCTTCGCACCAACTGCCTTGCACTTGGTCTCATACCAACAGTGTGATTTCCTTCCTCGCACCAGCGGCATCCCCTGTTAGCACACCAAATGCTCGCTTCAGCGGTCATTTTCGGCCTTCGGCGTTATGTCAGCGTCTGCTATCTCTCTGGCAAATACAGCCTTCGGGGGGAGGGGACAGGCCATGGACCCCCCCTCCGAAGACTTTGTATTCGGGGCCATTTTCTGCCTGGAAGGCAAGCAAACCAGGGACTCGGCCATAAAATAAGCGCATCTTGGGCTCGATGCGTCGGGGGGACCTAACTACTGCTTCGCAAGCAGCGACAAGGCGCGACGCACACCAACCGTCTCAAGCGCGGTGGCGGATAATAAGGCACGGCCGGCTATGTGCTGATATTACCCTTCAGTGGTGACTCGCTCTATGATGCCAGAATAGAATGTGTTACGATCAGCTCTGTCATGCGATGACGTGTTATGTTGTTGTGTGCTCTTCTATGCTGCGTCATGTTGCGATACCTACGCTAGGCTATGCTCCTGATGCTCTGATGGGATCCGTGGTCGCCGAACGCATCTTATGTTATGGTGGCTACATATTGCCATGTTCATAGCACTAGGTTATGCTGTGGCATCATTATATTGTCCGCCGGCGTGGGATAGCTTATTGGGTTGGTTTACATCAACTACCGTCGCGGTAGCAATCGTACAACAAGTCTGCTCTGGTCTGTTAGGCCATATGCCATGGGATGTTCTGCTATGCCATGTAGGAAGATGATATGACATGATACGGCCGATTAGTGTGTCACACCGTGTTGTACTATGGTAAGGTATGTCATCTCATCATGTGATGTAGCAGTGTGTGCGTCGCGCTAGTACATGGTACGTGTTGCCATTGTATGGTCTGACCTGGTATGTTACGCTGGGATGAAACAGTATGGTATGTCATGTCATTGTATGGCATGCTGTTGGGCCATGCTATGATGTGTTACGTTACCCTGTGTGATGTTATGCTCGATTATGCTGTTCCTTCCTGTCATAGCATAACTGTGTATGTTGTGTCCTGCCCACTTCTGTGATGCTGTGCTCTGTAATGCTCCTTTCTGTCATGTCAGATTCAATCATTATGGTCCGTTCTGTCATGTCATGTTCGTTGTACTCTGTGCTGATGATTATGTTCTGTCTAGGCCATAAGGAAGGGAGTATTGGGGATTCTCCGTGGACCTTGGGATTGGGCGGCCGCGGTATGCAGAGTGGTCGGGTCGGGTCGGGAAGGGCATGAGTTTCGATGATTCCGGTGGGCCTGGGGATCTGGCGGCCGCGGAATGCAGGGTGGGCGGATCGGGAAGTCTATTCTTGACGCTTCGCGTATCCCCACCAGCCCATCCTACACCAGGCGCTCGAACGAAGAGCGCCGATGATCGGCAACTGTTCTCCTCCCCCTCTTCCTCCTCCTCCGCCTTCTCCTCCTCCTCTTCTCCTCCTCCTCCCTCACCTCCTGCTCCTGCTCCTGCTCCTCCTCCTCCTCCTCCTCCTCCTCCTCTTCCTCCTCATCTTCCTCTTCCCTGGTGGCGTCTTGGAAGTATCTTCGAACGTTTTGGTGGGCTCTTGGGCCTTGCGGGCGGGCGGGCGGCGCTCCGCCCGCCCGCGCGCAGGGCCCAAGAGGGGGTCCAAGACGTCTCTCGGAGCCATCTTGGAGGAGATCGATCAACGAAGGGGGGTTCCTAAATTTCAGCCCCCCCCTCAGGAGCCACGATCCTCGTGAGGGGTGTCGAATTTTAGCCCTCCCAGGGGTCGATCTTGGACGCTCTGACCGATCGCGGCCCCCCTGTCCAGGTCAGTGGGGAGGGGGTAGGGGGAGGGGTAAACCCCTCCCCGAAGGGGAAGAAGGAGGGGTGGAAGAGGAAACGCTCTAAACCACCGACGCCCTAAAGGGCTGGTGGGATTCTTAAGATCTAACGGCCCCTACCTGCCGGGCGGGGAATCACGCCCAAAGCCCCAAACACCTTCCCTCTGCGACATCTTTCGAGCCGGATCGATCTGTGATGGTATCTGGGCCCGAAACGAGTGAGAACTGGCCGCCGGCGCGGCCGCCGGCGCCGCGGCGGCGACGGCGGTGGTTGCTCGAAGGCCGCCAGAAGCCGCCGCCGGCCGCTGGCCGAAGGCCGCCAGGGGCCGCCGCCTTCTCGGGGGGCGCCACCTTTTCGTTGGGCGCGGCCTCCTCGGGCGCCGCGGGCTCCTCGGCCGCGGGCTCCTTGGCCGCCAGCCTCTCGACAGCCTGAACAGACGACGACGAGGACGACGACGAGGACGACGACGAGGAGGACGACGAGGACGACGACGACGACGTCGACGTGGACGTCGACGACGACGACGACGAGGACGACAGAAGGAGGAGGACGACGGGGCGAGGAGGTCGTCGCACACACACATTGCCATCTAAAGGACTCCTCCCTGTCGCACCCCCAGGTCGTGTCAGCACGGCGGGCCGGGCGTGTCGCACAAGATTTCTCAGCACTGCCGATCCTGAAGCGTGGCGCATCAACTCCACGGACGGAGGGCGGAGCGTCTCCAAAATGTGGCTCCCGCCCTGTGAGGCGGCGGCAACGAAGAGGCAACGAGGCGGCAACGTGGTGAAACCTCGCCAGACACACCCAACACACGATGCGGCAAGAAGGCGGCAACGGGCGGCAACGTGGCGAAACCTCGTTGGACCCACCCAACACACAAGGCGGCAACGAGGCGGCAACGGACGGCAACGTGGTGAAACCTCGCCAGACACACCACGTGCGAGAGGCGGCAAGAAGGCGGCAACGGGCGGCAACACGCGAAACCTCGCTGGACCCACCCAACACACGAGGCGGCAACGAGGCGGCAACGGACGGCAACGTGGTGAAACCTCGCCAGACACACCACGTGCGAGAGGCGGCAAGAAGGCGGCAACGGGCGGCAACACGCGAAACCTCGCTGGACCCACCCAACACACGAGGCGGCAACGAGGCGGCAACGGACGGCAACGTGGTGAAACCTCGCCAGACACACCACGTGCGAGAGGCGGCAAGAAGGCGGCAACGGGCGGCAACGTGGCGAAACTTCGTTGGACCCACCCAACACACGAGGCGGCAACGAGGCGGCAACGGACGGCAACGTGGTGAAACCTCGCGACACACACCACGTGCGAGAGGCGGCAAGAAGGCGGCAACGGGCGGCAACACGCGAAACCTCGCAGGACCCACCCAACACACGAGACGGCAACGAGGCGGCAACGAGGCGGCAACGGACGGCAACGTGGTGAAACCTCGCCAGACACACCACGTGCGAGAGGCGGCAAGAAGGCGGCAACGGGCGGCAACGTGGCGAAACCTCGTTGGACCCACCCAACACACAAGGCGGCAACGAGGCGGCAACGGACGGCAACGTGGTGAAACCTCGCGACACACACCACGTGCGAGAGGCGGCAAGAAGGCGGCAACGGGCGGCAACGTGGCGAAACCTCGTTGGACCCACCCAACACACGAGGCGGCAACGAGGCGGCAACGGACGGCAACGTGGTGAGCGACGGCACGTGGCGACGAATGGCGGGGCGCGGCAACGTGGTCGCTTGAAACACACCACGTGCGTCGAGGCGGCGGCAACGAGGCGGCAACGGACGGCAACGTGGTGAAACTCGCCAGACACACCACGTGCGAGAGGCGGCAAGAAGGCGGCAACGGGCGGCAACGGCGAAACCTCGTTGGACCCACCCAACACACGAGGCGGCAACGAGGCGGCAACGGACGGCAACGTGGTGAAACCTCGCCAGACACACCACGTGCGAGAGGCGGCAAAGGCGGCAACGGGCGGCAACGTGGCGAAATCTCGTTGGACCCACCCAACACACGAAGCGGCAACGAGGCGGCAACGGACGGCAACGTGGTGAAACCTCGCCAGACACACCACGTGGAGAGGGGGCAAAAAGGCGGCAACGGGCGGCAACGTGGCGAAACTTCGTTGGACCCACCCAACACACGAGGCTGCAACAAGGCGGCAACGGACGGCAACGTGGTGAAACCTCGCGAGGCACACCACGTGCGAGAGGCGGCAAGAAGGCGGCAACGGGCGGCAACGTGGCGAAACCTCGTTGGACCCACCCAACACACGAAGCGGCAACGAGGCGGCAACGGACGGAAACGTGGTGAAACCTCGCCGGACACACCACGCGCGAGAGGCGGCAAGAAGGCGGCAACGGGCGGCAACGTGGCGAAACCTCGTTGGACCCACCCAACACACAAGGCGGCAACGAGGCGGCAACGAGGCGGCAACGGACGGCAACGTGGTGAAACCTCGCCAAACACACCACGTGCGAGAGGCGGCAAGAAGGCGGCAACGGGCGGCAACGTGGCGAAACCTCGTTGGACCCACCCACCCACACACGAGGCGGCAACGAGGCGGCAACGGACGGCAACGTGGTGAAACCTCGCGAGACACACCACGTGCGAGAGGCGGCAAGAAGGCGGCAACGGGCGGCAACGTGGCGAAACCTCGTTGGACCCACCCAACACACGAAGGCGGCAACGAGGCGGCAACGGACGGCAACGTGGTGAAACCTCGCGAGACACACCACGTGCGAGAGGCGGCAAGAAGGCGGCAACGGGCGGCAACGTGGCGAAACCTCGTTGGACCCACCCAACACACAAGGCGGCAACGAGGTGGCAACGGACGGCAACGTGGTGAAACCTCGCCAGACACACCACGTGCGAGAGGCGGCAAGAAGGCGGCAACGGGCGGCAACGCGGCGAAACCTCGCTGGACCCACCCAACACACGAGGCGGCAACGAGGCGGCAACGAGGCGGCAACGGACGGCAACGTGGTGAAACTTCGCGAGACACACCACGTGCGAGAGGCGGCAAGAAGGCGGCAACGGGCGGCAACGTGGCGAAACCTCGTTGGACCCACCCAACACACGAGGCGGCAACGAGGCGGCAACGGACGGCAACGTGGTGAAACCTCGCGAGACACACCACGTGCGAGAGGCGGCAAGAAGGCGGCAACGGGCGGCAACGTGGCGAAACCTCGCTGGACCCACCCAACACACGAGGCAGCAACGAAGCGGCAAACGGCAACGCGGCGAAACCTCGCCAGACACACCACGTGCGAGAGGCGGCAAGAAGGCGGCAACGGGCGGCAACGTGGCGAAAACTCGTTGGACCCACCCAACACACAAGGCGGCAACGAGGCGGCAACGGACGGCAACGTGGTGAAACCTCGCGAGACACACCACGTGCGAGAGGCGGCAAGAAGGCGGCAACGGGCGGCAACGTGGCGAAACCTCGCCGGACCCACCCAACACAGGAGGCGGCAACGAGGCGGCAACGGGCGGCAACGTGGCGAAACCTCGCTGGACCCACCCAACACACGAGGCGGCAACGAGGCGGCAACGGACGGCAACGTGGTGAAACCTCGCCAGACACACCACGTGCGAGAGGCGGCAAGAAGGCGGCAACGGGCGGCAACGCGGCGAAACCTCGCAGGAGAGGCGACAACGGACGGCGACTTTGCGAAGCTGCGAAACCTCGCTGGTCCAAGCCAGCGCACGAGGCGGCAACGAGGCGGCAGCGAGGCGGCAACGGGCGGCAACGTGGCGAAAACTCGCCAGACCCACCCAGCGCATGCTAGACGGCAACGAAGCGGCAACGGTTGAAATTCGTCGCCAGACTCATCTAAATCCGCACGGAGACAAGGAAGAACTCAGCAAGCAGATGTTTGGGGAATAGAAGTAAGGTGATGTTGCAGCTCCTGACGAGGATATGTTATTGTGCGCCGTTTTCCACTTGGAAATGGTCTGAAAGAGTAGAAGAATCAAGGCCGCTTGAGGCGACTGCGCGCTCCCTTCAAAAAGTAAGAAAAGGGCAATCATATGCGAAGGTGTATGCGAAAAAGTAGGTAAGGCAGACGGGGCTAATCGGGTTTCTTGGGCTCCAAACTTTCAGCCCTGGGCCCAAGGCAATCAATGGGCCCTACACGCAAACGCACTAGATCCTAGCCCCTAGAACATAGTCCCTGGGCCCGGGGACCACCAGGGACCCGATACCTTAGACCCGAGACTCTAGACAAAGGACGGCGGACACAACACTTCAGACCCCTTGACACTTAGGCCCGACACCCTAGACCCAGGACGTCGTCATCGTCAACATCGTCGCCGTCGCCCCTTTCAACGTCGTCAACGTCGTCGTTGGCAGCATCGTCTCCGTGTTCGTTGTCGCCGTCTTCGTCGTGTTCGTCGTCATCGTGTGTCGTCGTCTTTGTCGCCCGCCGTCGTCGTCGTGGGCGGCCGCGGTGTCGTCGTCTTCGTCTTCGTCGACGTCGTCGTGTGCTCGCACGCGCGGGGTGAGATCGCCCCCTGGCTTTCGGAGGGGGGGGAAAGAGAACGGAACGAAACGGAACACTCATGCGGGCATCCGCCCAGGCGCCTTAAGAGCGGAGCGCATGAGGCCAAGGCCTCGCAGGAAAGTCAGGAACATCGATAGCCTACTCGACATGCCTGTGTCGCTGGGCACCTGGTGTGCCAGAAGATGTATAGGTAACAATTATGTTCCCAACTGTTCCCAATCTCTGTTACAACCGATTGTAGCCACGTGGCGTGATACGGGTAGTTGTGTCTGTGCGTTGCCAGGCGTTGGTTGACTGCGGCGTGGTATAGGCGAAAGAACTCATGGTGAATATATTGGTCGTCCCGTCTCTTCCACTGTCCTCCATGAGTACGAAGTCCATCCTGGTCGTGCCAATGGAGAACACGTCGTGGCGATTCTTGTGGTAGTTTGATCGCATCCTGGGCAGCACATCTCCATACCATAGTTCGCTGTGCTCGCCCAGTCGTGTACTGTGTTTGTGCACGAGAGCTTCTACTTGCCGAATAGCCCGCTTGATGTATTCTACCCGTGGTTTCAATCCGTCGTTCACAAGGCTGTCATTATCGTCTGTGGCATCGTGTTCTGCGTCGATGGCTTCGTTACAGAAATGGCGATTGGAGGGTGGCTGCTTACATCCTCACCGTCGGTGCTGTCTGCGCGAAGTCCTGGAGCTGGCGCCGAACTTGCCTTCTGCGGGCAAGTCGCTCCAAGCGTTGGTCTGACGTCAGCGTGTCGACGCCGAGGGTCGCCGCTGACCATGCGCACCATGCGTCGCTGTGTGCGTTGCGGCTTCTGTCGTAAAAGCTCAACCAATGTCCAAATACCTGCGTCATAGAGCACCGTCGGTGTGACCGTGCCGCCTAAACGCTGGAGTCATTGCTTTAGTGAGCAATGCCTTCCTGTGAGTTCTTGTCTGTGTTACCTGTAGGTGGCGAAAGCTTCCCAGCCTGCATTCAGGCGGTTCTTGCCTTAGTTGACACTGTGTCGTAAAGGCTATGGCGTTGACCCAAATACTTGACTGAACCCATGTACGGTAAAATCTCGATATCCAAGTCGCTGATGTTCACCATCCGTTGCCGTGCCATCCTCGTCCGTTCAGGCAGTCTGGACCAGATCTTCGTTCTGCCAGGGTGCATGTGAAATCTATGTGTGTTTCGCTGCCGCGGCCATGTCCTTGGACATTGTGGTGAGATGAGGGGAACGTCGTCAGCGAAACTTCGATGCGCTCTAGGAGCGAATTGAAGAGCAGTGAGCTGAGGGGGTCGCCCCGTGAAGTGCCTCTCATGAGATGGAGTGGGCGACTGCTCGTGCCTGTTTGTATTTTTGCTGTTTGTTCAAAACGGAACAGCTTGAGAAGGTGTATGTATTTGCTGTGATGCCTTGGCCTTTAAGTGCCGCCCAGAAGCTATCGTGTTCAACCGCCTTGGGCGCTTTCTTGAAGCCGAGTGCCGCTATCCACAGAGGCTGGTTCCATTCGCGTGCTCTTTCGCGAAGAATGTGGGAAGTAAGTGAAGGGTCTTGCGTGGATCGCCGAGGGCGGAATCCAGCTTGCTCTGAAGGTTGTCGCTTGTCCAATTGCGGCAACAATTTGTCATATACACTTGTTTGACGAGCTTGTACAATCGAGGTATGCTGCAAATTGGTAGGTAATTCTGGGGTTGTATGTGGCCCCCTGCTTCAGGTATGGCTGTTATGGTCTGTCGCCAGCTCTTCGGGGTCGATGGTCGGAGAATGGTGCTGTAGAGTAGTAGGATAGCTTGCTTCAACTCCGGCGGTACGTGTTTCAACAATTCCGCTCGGATACCCTTTGGGTCTGGTGCTTTGCCACGCTTGAGGGTTGATAAAGCTTTGTCGAGCTCTTGGGAGGTAAGCGGTGGTGTAGTGTCGTGGTGGCCTGGAGTCGCGGCTGATCGAATGGAGTAGTAAAGCTGTTCGTAAAAATCGCCAAAGACGTTTGCAATGGACCCCCTCTCTATGTACAATTTGCCATCCCTGCCATGAATTTCCGTGATGAGCGTGCGTATCCGTCTTGATCTGATGGCAGTGGTTCGTTTGAACCCTCGGCACTCGTCTAATTGTTTACCACTCTGCGCTCGTCTCGCAGCCCGTTTGTTCTGTCGTACCGCTTGGCGGATGTGCTTGCTGATGCGCTGTCGCTCTTTCGTGTCTTGGTTGGGTGTGCTCTGTCGCAGCCGTATGTGTTCTTGCAGGCGCGTCTGGGTCGGGTGGTGCGGCCGTGGTTGGGCGGGAACATGTTCTGCTCGAAGATGCTGCGCCAATGATTGGTGTTCGTATGTGCTCGTTGAACCCCTCTGAATGTAGTGGCAAATCTGCAGTCGTGAGTTGTTCGTAACTGCCGTCGTGTACATGTCGTGGTGCTCTCTAATGTTGCAGTTTGTCTGCGTTCCGTCGGCTGCTGGTTGGACGTCGTGGCAAGCACAACTGAGCGATCACAACTTTGCGGTCCGACCCCAAATCCAATGTGTTATTCGCCTCTGTGTTGCGACAGCACCGGGACAGGCGCCTGGAGGTCAAGATGTAGTCGATTTGCTTCTCGGTGCCGTTGTTGTACGTATACGCCGTCAGCTTCGCAGTCTGATTGCGGAAGGAAGTATTGACAACAATCAGACTCTCTTTCGATGCCGACGAGCGTAGCCAAACACCCCTCGAGTCGCACTGCCCGTGCATCTGTTTACTGATATACCTGGGGTCGACCATGGGTTCATCTTCGAGCTTGTCGTCATCGTCGTCGTTCGTCAGCCGGGTTGCTTCTGGGTGCCTGGTATGCACATTGAAATGCCAAGACTGTGCTGTAATTCCGACTGCATGCTTCGGCGTGCAATGCAGAGATTGGTGTGTACATGCTCTGAATGTGGTAATCGGAATGCTCCGTGTGCGGAAAGCACGCGGCAGTTCGCATCAGCTTGACAGAGCCTACGTGAAGCGCTGTTCACCTGGGGTTGGTTGCGTTGCGGACCTGCGGGAGGGGGAAGGGAGGCAGAGGGAGGGAGGGAGGGAGTCTAGGAGATTTTTCGGAGCAGGAAGGAATCCCAACAACACTTCCTGAACCGCCCAAACAAAACCGCACCTCCTCAGAACCCCCTTCGACGATCATGCAACTTCGTTGGCAACGGCGAGAAGACGACTACTCCGGCGACCCTGAGAACAAAGACGGCGACAATCTTGCGATCATGTGATCCGACCAATTGCCTTGAGCTTCACATGTTCCCCGCATTCCCTCGCACCATCTGGCTAACTTTATAAACCGAAGCCGTTTCGGAGCGGCTTCTTTTCACACCAGCTCGTGGGAGAAGCGTTCAGCTGTGCACTCCGCAAGCGCACCACGCCACCATGGCCGTCATGCGAACTCACGCGCCCACGGGCACGTCACAAACTTGACAGCATTGCGAGGAAGCCTCTGGCGAGAACACCGCTCTTCCGTTTTGGGTTCTCGCTGGCCAGGCAGGGTGGAGATCGACGACCCTGAGGGCCTCCTGGAGGGCTTGCCGGTCCACCTCGGCGTCGGGGACGTCGCCGACTGCTTCCACAGGATGAGGTTAGTGAAGACGGCGGGGGGCGACATCCGGCGCTACATCTGCTGGCCGCCCCTTGCGTCCAAGTACGCCGGCGTCTCCGAGGTCGACGGCGTCCTGGAGTACAATGTAAGGGGGTATCGAACGGGAGCCGTTGCCGTCGTAGCGAGGCCTTCGCCAACTTGACTGCGTTGCGGGGGCGTCTGGGGCGAGAGCGGTGCCCCTGATGTTGTTAGACACCTCTCTTGCCAGGGCGTCTCGGAGTATGTTGCGGGGAAATATAAAGCGGGAGCCGCTGTCGTCGCAGTTGGAAACGACTATAATTCTCAAAACGATGCACGGGATCGCGCGCGCTTCGCGTGCGCTCAGGTTCTAGCTCAGGCCAGGGGCGCGCTTGAGGATCTTGGACAATACTATCAAGCACAGGCGCGTGACATAGTCGAGGGCCTCTTGGAAACCTCTTGGGTCTTCGTGGGGGCATCGGAAGGGCTTCTGGGGGGCCCTCCATGTTTCCCCAATTGGCTGTCTCTGGCGATTGCGCTATTCTTGAACTTAGGGGCCTCTCTGGCCAGGGCATCTCGGGAGTAGATTGTAAGGAGGTGTCGAGCGGGAGCCGTTGTCGCCGTAGCTCACCAACTTGACTGACTTGCGAAGACGTCTCTGGCGAGAGCGCCATTCTTGAGTTAGGGGGCCTCTCTGGCCGGGACGCCTCGGGAGGGAAACGCAAAACATATCGAGCGGTAGCCGTTGTCATCGCAGCTGGGCTTTTACCGACTGAGTTTTGGGACCAAGCCTGCGCTCAAGCGGGAGCCTCGCTTCCAAAGAACATGTAGCCTGCGTCAAGGCGAGAGCACCCATAATAGCTCACATGGGTCAAAACACCGACCCTCAAGGAGTGAGTTTTCGACAGGCACGAGGACGAGGACAACGAGGATGACGACGATGGCGACGACGCCGACGACGTGAAATACAATGTCCAACATGACCAAGACCATTACTACGACGACGATGGTGACAATCTCGATGAGGACGACCAGGAGGACACGGACAACGACCACCCTAAGAATCCAACCACATGGCGTTGCTAAACTTGAACGCGGCAGCATACGACGATGTCCAGGACGGTCACGATACTGGGCGCTGCTTGCGCCACGTTGGATGCATTTTGCAAGTAGCCAAACCGATCCCTGTATATTTTCGACACGAAGAATACCTCCCACACTGTGCCATCCTGTCCCCGCCAGCATAGCGAGACGACTCGCGCTGCCGCCAACAAATGTCCCATCCGTCACCCCCCGACTGCGCGAAGCAAGCCGGATGCATCTGTGGTTGCTTCTCGGGATGTGCCGCCGGGGGGCGCGGGGCTTGGAAAAGAGGCCAAGGCATCGTGTGCGGGACTATCAACCGCAAAACTGGCAGCCAGGAGAGGGAGGCAGGAAGAGATAGAGAGATACAGAGAGAGAGAGAGAGAGACACACACACAGAGCGAGATGGACTGATACGCACATATATATATATATATACAGCGAGAGACAGAGAGGAAAAAACAAAGAAATATCTAGAAACACATATGAAACAAACAAAGGAAGAGAAAGAGAAAGAGAGAGAGAGAGATAGAGAGAAACAAAAAAAGAGAGCGACGCGGTGCAATTGAGTAAGTGCGAACCCAACCACAATAAATCATAACATGCGCACTCCCTAGGAAAGGGATGACGGCGTCAAAATATAGCCCATCATTCCCCCCGCGACCCTTTTCCACTTACCTCTTCCTCCCTCCCTCGTCCGTCCTCCCTCATACCTCCGATGTCTTCTTCATCTTCATCATCATCATCATCATCATCACAACCCGCAACAACTATCATTATCCTCGCCCCCGTCCTCGTGATCCCCGTGCTCGCGGTCATCATCCTCATCCTCACCCTACTCGCCATGCTCATAATCATTGTCATCGCCACTGTCCTCCTCCGCACGTGCACCTATACACCATCGCCACCACCATCATCATCATCATCATCATCATCATCACCATCACCACCATCACCACCACCACCACCATCATCATCATCATCATCATCATCATCATCATCATCATCATCATCATCATCATCATCATCATCATCATCATCATCATCATCGTAATCATCATCTTCATCATCATCCGAATCACAATCATCATTACCAGAATTATCGTCATCATCATGACCGTCATTTCCACCACCGCCACCGCCACCTGTCATCATCAACATCATCATCGTGCGTAGCTATGTTGGCCCAAGCTGATGCAGCAGCCGACGACTGCGAGTCGCTCGACTCCGCTTCGAGCACGAGGCGTTGCGCTTGAGCCGGAGTTCAGTCCATACCTCTGGCGCCTCAGAGGCCAGTCTCTCCAAACCTCGCACCTGGCATCCGAGCGAATCGGTCTTCGGGGGCCCAGGCGACGTCGAAGGCTCGACCAACGGGGCGGCAGACGAGCGGAGGCGGCCACGGGCAGCAGTCACAGAGCAGGGCGGCGGCCAGAGCTGGAAGTGCCCACGGCGCGGTGCCGGACGGAATGGGGGCACCGGCAGCACGTTCCGGGAACGTGGCGGATCATGGGGCGGGGAGCCGGCATCGCACGCATCTGGGAGTTCGCGGTGGAGTGGCGCGCCCAACTTGGACGCCAGAGAGAGGCGCGATCTCAAACAGCTGCGGAGAAAACAAGGCGGTCAGAGGGCGAGCAGGCCGCCACCCAGGGCGGCGGCAAGGGCATGGAGAACGGCGAGCAGTATCAGAAGAAGGAGCAAGTGCAGCAGCTGGGGAAGCTTCGCGCCGAGATCAAGGAGCTCGATGTGGGTCTCTGCAGCGGAGGAAGTGCTGAAGATCAAAAAGTCTGAGGCGAAACACTTGGCTGCGCAGATCGACCAGGAACGGCCGCTGTCTCATCAGCTGGGGAAGCTCGAGAAGAGACAGCGGACACAGCTGGCTGCGTCGCAAGCGCTCCCAGCGCAGCTTCAGGGCCTGGGCCAGGAGATCGTCAAGCTGGAGGGAAAGCGGGACGACATCCACCAGAAACTGGAATCATCGGTCGGGGCCGAGACAGACATCAAGCAGCTGCTGGATGGCCTCATCTCCGAGAGCGCCGAGGAAGAAGCCCGCCGAGAGGAGGAAGCAGCAAGTGTAAGAGCGGGCGTGGCAGGCGCAGCAGCCGAACCAGCAGCAGGCGCGGCCTCCCCCAGAGCAGCAGCTTCGTCTGAAGCAGCAAGCTCTGCTCGGACGCCGTGGGAGGAGGTCAAGGCGCAGCTGAAGGCGGACCAGGCGGACCAGCAGAACGAGCTGCCCACTCCATCAAGTCGCTTGAGAGCGATGCCGGCATGCTGGAGCCCAAGTGCCGCGATGACTGGGTGAAGCAGTTGGGGCCCATTTGGCGGGACAATAAGTTCGTCAAGGGGCGCGGCGGCGGGGACAGCGACGCGTTCGCTTTCAGCTTCGAGGCGGGCAAGCTGGAGGCCTTGGTGGATGAAGCCATGGGGGAAGCAGCGCTGAAGGAAGCCGAAGCCACCGAGGGTGGCGACAAGGGTTATGAAGCAGCTGCTGCCGACCCTGTGGCCACTCGGAAGGCCAAGCTGCAGCGATTGCTGCAGGGTCTTCGGGCCCTCCCAGCCGAGAAGAAAGGGAAGCGCGTGTGGCACGTTTACCATCGAGTACGTGGACAAGCGACCAAGATCCTCACGTCCGCCACTGAAGGGTCGAACGAAGTATACAAGACCAACCAGGCGGACGGATACCTAATCCAGTAGCACCACCTGGTCACCAAGAGGGCCGTGGAGCAGGAGCACGAGCAGTGGCACGCTGTCCTAAGCCCTGGAGCCATACGTCTTGATGGGGTGAGCCATGGGGCAGCCAGTGGAGGCACTGGAGTGGCGGTAAAGCAATGGCGAGGCATGTAAGGCCATGGTGCTGAAAGTCCGAATGTGTCGTGCCACGGTGTAGCCAACAGAGCAACTTTGGCACACATTGACGGCCTCGTACCAAGAGGCTTCATCATGGGGTCAGTATACTTGGATAGCGGCGCGGTGAGGGACGTCAGCCTTGTGGTCTTGCACAACATGGGCAAGGCGCTCAGGGAATTAGGCAAGCCATGGGTCTTGGGCGGCAACTGGAACGTAAGCCCAAGCGTGTTCCTCCAGAAAGCTGGCAACTGGGCAAGGGTGATCAAGGGCCAGCTCGTCTACACAGGCAAGGGCACGTACCTGTCCGCTGCCGACAAGGAGGCGTCGGATCTAGCCTGGTGCATAGTGGACGTCAGCCTAGCGGGCAAGATCTTAAACTGCGAGGTGATTGACATGCAGGAGGAAGGTGTGGCCAACCCGCGCAGGCCGCACATAGGGGCGCGCCTCACCCAAGCGATGGAAGAACAGGAGCCTAAAGCATTCCATCTCAAGGGGCACGCGGCCTTTCCGAAGCCAGTACGCGACGGGGGCGACCCTGGGGCAGTGCTACAGCAACCTGTGCAAGCGTATCGGGGACGAGCTGCTGAGGGTGTACCGGGCGAACCAGGTGGACGCCGACAAATATCGAGGGTGCGACAAGGTACTGCAGTATTTCTGGAGCAAACAAGCAAAGATGAAGCACACCAAGGGGCCGAAGGAACGCTAGAAAAGGACGTTCCTCAAGCAGCTGTTCGGTTTCGCGGTAGGGGTCAAGAGCTTCTACGGCACATGCGGGAGCGTGGGCAAAAAGGAGGTCCCTGAAAGGAGGGAGCATTTCCAGCAATAATCAATGTCTACTGCCAGGCATAAGAGGTCCTGGGTGTGGCGAGCATCGCTGTGAATAAGGTACCCAGCAAACCCGAACGTCGCAGAGGACCATAACGATTGGATAGACTAACGCACCCCGCATGGTTTCCACGTGTGTGTGTGACTATGTGTGAGGCAAAAGTTAGCCGTACGGGGCTGGCCGACAACTTCAACGCAGGGCTACGGATTGCGCAGAAGGTGTTCGTGCATGGAGACGAGGGCTGAGCAAGAGGGACGAGACCCTTCGGATCTTCAGCAACCTCGCGGCTCTGGACAAGGACGTGCGTAAGGAGGGGATACCACCGCACAATTGACAACTACCTGGAGAGCAAGAGGTGACTGGAAGAGAGTATCCCGCCAAGGCAGGATACGCGAGCTCAGGGTCATCGCAAAGTACCTGAACCCGGGGGGGCCAATTCAATCACGAGGGGGACCAACACACACTATGGGGAAGCCCGAAGGGGGGAATCGCCCCCTCCGGCATTCCTGCAGGTAGGGACGGGGCAGGTGACGCTGGAGAAAGGGCGCTCGACGTGTTCGCGCGAGGCACCCTGTGGAACGGCAGAAACGAGTCTTGAAACCATTGACCAGATATACCCAAGGATGGATACCCGAGCTTGACGGTGCCAATGACGACAACCACAGCCAGTCCTGGATCATGTGCGCACCATACGCCACGCATCTCTTGGAGGGGCGCAACGGCGGGAGGCAAGATGCACTAGCAGGCATGTGACCTGGAGCCACGGAGAGATGGAGGAGGGCGAGGGAGCCGTGCGAGGAGGCCTGGAGCGGCGGCCGCTCGGTCCAATCGCAGTGCCTCATGCTCATCAGCAGCCTTCTGGAGTCGGGCGCTGAAGAATGTGTGCAGGCGCAGGAGGCCCACTGCGCGTACCCCAGGGCCTCGAGGCAGCACATTCAGGCCAATACTTCAGCACAGCCTGCACCGCCAAGGATGGAGCCGCAGCCCACCAACGGAGAGGGCAACTACAACATGGGCATGCAAGGCACGATCCCCAGATCACCCAAAGGGATCCAAACGCTGCTCGGGAGCCAGTGGGCGACGAGGGTGGAGCTGGCGCTACAGTGCCCTTTGCGGGTCCCGCTGGGGAAGTGGATCAACGAGGAGAAAGGGGCTGCTGAAACTGAGGCCACGGCGCACGCGGCCGCGAGGGGTAAGGGCTTCAAGGATTGGATCAGCAAGTTCGTGTCAGATGGTGGAGGTGTGCGTGCCCACAGGAGGGGGCCGCGTGGATGGGTCCTGGACGATGTGGTGGATGAGACTCTAGCTAGAAATCAACACCGTGTCCAAGCAATCGCCAGCTACTGATCCAAAGAGGCGTGGCGAGTCAGACTGGACAGCACCAGGTCCAGGCCGGCAGCGGTTACGGGACGCCACTCTCGAGACCATCAGTCGAGAAGTACGGAAGACAACACGTGCCTTCGCAGGAAGCGCGGGCGTGGGAATCGACCGCACGAACCCGAGGCACGCAGCTTTGCTCAGCGACGAGCTGCGGGAGGCGCTGGTCGACTTCGGCATGCAGCGCGAGGGCATCGGAGGGTGTCCCGATATTATCACCGATTCCATGGTGGTCATGCGATGGGGATTCCGATATTTTCGGCTCTTACGCTGGTCCCCTCGTCTTTGGAATCGTATTCGACAGTCGGCGGCGAGGCAGTGGGACGAGAGCATCGACGAGGGCCAGGCAGGTTGCTTTGGGGGAGGCAGAAGACGCGCTGCAGAGGAAGCAGTTTGATGGCAAGCTATGCGAGCCGAAGCTGGAGGAGGTCGAGGCGAGGCATCCTCGCGAAGCACCCGAGAAGGTTACTCATTCTGGCAATGGCCGTCTACGCGGAGGAAAAGCGTATCGTCTTAGATGGTGGGGTCTCGAAGGGTGTCACTGTGAACGCGGGCCT